CGATGGGAAGATCTTCCCATCGATGGGTAAGCAGTCCCTCAACGAAACTGATTTCCAGAACCATGCCAAACAGCGATGGGAAGTTCTACCCATCGCTGTTAAAGCCTTGGTGCAACATTACCACAAGGCAGAATGCCCTTACCCAGCGATGGGAAGCTTTACCCATCGATGGGAACCCAGCGATGGGAAGGCTTAACCATCGATGGAAAGGCATGACCGTTGGGAGTCATTTAAGGCTGATTCTTTCCTTATTTGAAAGTCAACCTCCCACCCAGCGATGGGAAGCATTTACCCATCGATGGGTAGGTAACCGTTGGCTTCAAAACTGAAGGAAAATTGGCCTACCAGCGATGTAACACCCTAATCCATCCAGGTCTGCAGCCCCTTTCAGACTAAAGTATTAACTTGGTAATCGTAAAATTTAAAACTTTTCAAACACTTTTATTTATCACGATAATATTTTTCACAACATATACAGTGCGGAGTTTTCAATATTGCGGAAGCTTATCAATCATAATTATAAACATAATTTATTTATGTTCTTTAATTCAAAACCATCACATCCATTCCGACAATCTCGCCTCCGTCTGCCTCCAGAATCTCGTCACATCATTCTTTCTATTAACCTGCGTGTAGCAAATAAAACATACTACACGCTCAGCGGTGAAGCTGAGTAAGCATATCTAAAGCGTCGAACACCCATATAAATTGAACCCAAATTCATAATCAAATCATTTGATATCATGCACAAAGTATTCAGTTCAAATATACAATAATCAATATTCAACATTCGTCATTCAATAATAATATCCTTAAACTATTCTTAGTCTAAGGCCAATCTTTTTAATGTTTACCAACTCTTAAACTAGTTCTAGTTTAAGGTACTTCTATCCAACTCTTAAACTAATTCTAGTTTTAATGTACTTTTATCCAACTCTTAAACTTATTAGAGTTTAAGGTACTTCTAACCAACTCTTAAGCTAGGTCATTAGTTTAAGGTACATATATTCCGATTGATTTACCAACTCTTAAACTAGCCTTCGCTTAAGGTACAAATCCAGAAAACCGAACAGTAGGATACTGACTGTCGGGTTGGGTGGTATCCCCAAACGAGTTCCTCTAGTTTGGTTATGGATCCCGTACGTACGTTTTTACCCAAGGCCACCGAATATACGTTTTATACCCGCAAGGCCCATTCTAATCAGA